TACCATATTGAAAAATATACTATTTTTGTATGATAATTATGGGTTTTGTATTTTATTTTAATAGAAGTTGATGTTGCTTTTGCAATTATCCATCAATTTTTTAAAATTAAACACTATCTACAGATTTGCATCGAAGCGTTTCTTATGATAGTGATTTTAATCACTGTCAGATTAAATCTATACTGGACCCTACTATACAATGTCTCCACTATGCCGTGACCCCACTGTGCTACCGTTTTATATAATTAAGTTTATATTATTACCTAAGTGATGTATTCAAATTAAAAAAATAAGTTAAAAAAAAAATAACTTTATTTTATAATTTAATTATCATTAGTAGGGAGCGCATAGACCAAGAAAACTACAGTACACTTTATGTGTGTGTCATTTTTTATTTTTTTAAAAGAAAATTGTGTATGCCATAAGGTATTTTTAGAGTAAAACTTTAAAAACGTAAAAAGGAATTTATAACTAATACTTTAATGTAAGATCAGCCTTTAAAATAAAATCTCGACTTCCCCCCGTTATGTAATTATTTATAATCAGGGTTTGGGACATATAGAATATGTTTATTTTTATTGTTTAAAAAATAATGTAATACATACAGTGCTATAATTTTAAATAGTACATTAAATGTATGTTAAGGTAAGTTATGGACAGTAAAAAAGTAAAAGAAAATATTTACATAAACAAAGTCCTTTAAAGTCTTACTTTTTTAAGCAACTTATTGAGACGTTAACCATTACACAAAGTAAATAACCTTAAACAAAACTGTGTGAGTACACGGTAAATTAAATTGAAAATTAATGTATGCTACTAAACCATCAACAAAAAAGACAAAAATAATGTGATAGCGTTTCAGTAATTTTATTAAATGTCAAAAATACATATATAAAGGTATTATACAAAGATATATACTAAGAGAATATGATAATCTGATAGTATTGAAACTAGTTTTTATGGAAATAGTCGTAAAAAGAAAATTTTAGATAAAAAACTATAAAATTTAGATTGTTGGATTTTTATTATTTAAAATATAAAAAAACTATGTGATTAACTTTTTCTTAATACAATAATGAAGCTAAAAAAATATATGTGTAAATCACTATGAGATACAATATTTTTAACTGGGTATTAAAATACAAACAAATTGATAAATACAATAAATTTAACACATTTTCTTTTCTCTGGACATTTATTTTACTACCATAATCTGTTCAAGTAGACATATAAAAACAAGTAAATTAAAATACAACATATCCTAATAAGTTAAAAATGATATTTATGACGTCGAAGTTGTTTTTAACATGATTATCTTTTTCATTAATTTAGTTTATCATCCAAAAAAACAATACAATAGAGCCTATACATTGAGGTGAATCTCCTTTTGTTTATAACGACTTCATAATATATTTTTTTGCATTGAATAATGAAAAAAGATGCATATCATGTCAGTTTGATAGAGCTGACGTCATTTTGATTAATAGAATTCTGTAGGTTAAGGTCCTAGAGAAATATGTCCATGGAGTTATTATGAAATTAAAAATACTGATAAAAAACCAAATATATCAGAATATAAAGTATATAAATAATCAAATGATATATTATTTGTAATTTTATAAAAACACAATAATAATAACTGATAATCTAACACGATAACAACAATGATCATCAACGACATACGATTCCAAGGTGTTACGACAACAACAGCATCGTCAAAACACAATCTGAATTTCGAGCTTTTAAAACATTATGTAAACATTAAGAGCAATTATCACTGTTTCTAAACAAAAATAAACATACGTACGAAACTACCCAACTCATTCGGTAGTTTTCATTCATTTGTATTTAAAACGACAAATTCCCTTATTAATAATTGATAAAAAGACGCTGAAGTAGCCGTGTGTGTTTTATATGAAAGAATAACTGGTTTAAAGTTTGATAATTATTTCACAACACC